GCCCTGTTGGCTCTGCCGCGGGAACTATTCCCTACAAAGGCAGGCGCATCCTAGCGCAGCAGGAAGCAGGCTCTGGTGCATGGAAGTGAACGCAGATCTGGTAGCAGTTAGAGCGGCTGCAGCCACCCTGGACGGACGGACAGTCGCAGGAGGCCTGGGCCGGGCTGAGTCGTGCAGTGGCTTACGGAGCCTGGACACATGTTTTAAATTCGTTCTCCAGGGTAGTTCTCTGAGCGTAAGGTCCGTTGAGCTGAGCCATTAGTCAGACACGAGGGGACTCTCCTGTGCCCCGGTCTCTGCGCCCCAGAATGGACCCCGGGACCCGAGGGCAGCTCTCGGCGAGGCCCGGGAACTCGCCCAGGCCACACACTGTGCTCAGGCCCAGGGCAAGCCCAGACGGGGGATGCCAGGAAGGCTGGAGGGGAGCGGACACAGGCAGCGGAGCCCCTGACAGAAAGGCCGCCAGCTTAGCACAGGAGGCCGGGGCCGGGCCAGGCTCCCAGGGAAGAGCCTGGTCGCTGCCCACGGGGCCGGGAGACTGAGCTGTCCAGTACCTCCTTGGGCGGTGTTACTCACATAAAAACCAACCAGTAGCAGCAGTGGTGGAGAGGGGTGGAGCTGGTGAGCAGGCGATGCCAGATGAGCCAAGGCGGGTGTGAGCAGGGGCCCCCAATCACCCCACCGGTCGCCCCACAAATCAGCCCTAATTGCCAGCCGCAAGGCGGAGGGGCCCCGCAGGGCGGCTCGTTCTGTCTTAATTTCATGAACATTTTTATTTTATTTTTTGAAATACATTTTTATTGATGTCAGAGAGGAAGAGAGAGGGAGAGAAACATCCGTAATGAGAGAGAATCCTGGCTCGGCTGCCTCCTGCACGCCCCCTGCTGGGGATCAAGCCCGCAACCCAGGCCTGTGCCCTGACGGGGAATCAGACCCTGACCTCCTGGTTCCTAGGTTGATGCTCAGCCACGGAGCCACGCGGCCGGGCCCACGGTCATTTCTACATTGAGGTGTGATTTACATGCGGTGACGTTCACTCTGTTTAGTGCGCAGTTGTAGGGGTTTGTCCTGTCCCAAACCCACCAGAACCAGCAGAACCTTCCTTCTGCCCGTCATT